TCGAAACGACGGAGAAATAACTTACACTGCATAAAAACAACAGTAAAGCACGATGCTCTTGTCAGGGAATTTCCGTGTTTCAAAATCTCGCTAACGCTGTTAAGAAAATTTCGCTAGGGCAGTAAATGCCTACCTCTTCATTTTAGTTCATTAAAAAACTAAAACCATATGCAGAACAGTAATTCTATAGAATAACTCCATACTTTTAAGTCACTACCTTTCACAAGGTCTACAATAGGCACGCGAAACAAAAGTGAGTTCACTTTTGAAAGGTAAGTTGAAGTGTACTCAAAGGGCAAAAAACAGCGTTCAAAAAGAGAAGTGAACTAAGGAGGAAGTGATACACCACATACCGATTACGGGCAACATACTCGACTTTTTCGATGTGAAGAGGATCAAAACTGAGGTCACGCCGCATCTCATTTATCTTCTCACAAGTCTGTAAAAAGCACAAACGTCACGATGAAATTGGCACTCATTTGAAGACAAATGCTACAGTGTAATGACAATGGTAAGGCAAAATGAGTCGATTTCCCAACCCTCTTCCGATTATATCATTCAGTCGATGGTATGAATTGAGGCATAAATGAACAAGTCCACCACTAAACTGCTGCATTCTCATGCCGTTGGATATAAATGCGAAGCCATGAGACACTAAAACAAGATCATAATACCATCTGTTTTGGGCAGTAAAGCTAACCAACCCCACCAGTAAATTATCAGTGATACCTGTAATGGACAGCATTGCATAAACTAAAAAATAACTTAAGCAACAAGTGCACAAAAGTTTATGAAGGACGCTTCATATTACGCATTTGAGGCGTTGGTCGAATTGACAAAAAAAGTATCGCTAATTCCTGATCAATATTAATAGCTTCATGTTTGTTTACCGCAACCGTCTCAGGACTGGCAATAATACATTGGAAATCAGATTGACGTGAGGGTGGCCCGTACGGATCAACAAGACGGCATACTTCTAGCTGCGTCTCCGGAAAGCCAATGTTGGTTAGGAATTTTGACAAGGTATCTTCTCTAGCCTCACAGGACTCAATGAGGGGTGCGAGAGACTTCTTGCGAAGAAGGCCAATGTCTGTGACGCCAACCACTAGACGGCGGCTAGTTAGAAGGGCTGCAATGCTCAAAAGCACTCGATGACCATGATGGAGCATGTCAAACGTTCCACCAACGCACACTGATGGATAAGTGGCAATCCCTGATCCTTCAGAAGTGGTTCCCTCAGCCATAGCTATTTAGCATTAGGCACACGAAATTGAACCAACCAACTTTGTAGCGAATGACACTGCATCCATCGCAACAGGTACCAAAGGCGGAGGCTATTTCAACAATTTCGTTTCCATCACCAGTCATATCGTCAGTAATGATAACATCAAAGGCGCGACTTTTAGTTGCGACAGTTTGGAGAGTACGTGGAAGAAGGATGCAGACATCTAAATGGGGACACACCTAATACAAAATGGAATAGAAGAGCAAGCATGTTACATAGCTAGCAGATGAATAATATAGTGAAATGCACGTCTTCCACGTATGCCCGCAGCACTTCAGACATTGGGGAGATCGAAGGAGAATATACAACTTATGAGACACCTGATAAGAGACGGAACGCAGAAGTGAACTGACTCCCTTGGTTGATAAGTCATTGTTGACGATAAGCAATCCACAGTAGACGGCTGAAATTCGAAGCACGATACTTTCAAAACGATGAGCAAAGTAAAGCTGCAAATTGGTCATTTCCATCAAACAAAAACACCACATTCTTCCTACGTACAGTAAACTGTCCGCATCAACGTCACAATGACCCATACGAACACGATAAAGCGGTGCATTACTACACCTCTCTCATTCTTCAAAGCATATATCTCCAGAGTTGATACGCATAGACTCAACCAAGTATTCTGCAGGAAATATGGATAGAGCAAGGAACTAGAGTACCAAAATACAAATAAAGACGCACCTCTGTCCGGAAGGCGCATAGTCAGCAGGTTGATGGTTTGATGAGTGAAGAAAGGCGACACGACCTCACACCAGCGAAAGGTTGGTCGATGCCTAAGAGAAATAACTGCCCACCTGAGTCACAGTAGTAGCTTCAAGGCTTTCTTTAAAAACAGCAAGTATTCTAGTGCCAAAAGTATGAAAGAAGAGGCTCAATGGCAGATTGGCTGTGTTGTCTGAAAATCTACCCTTAATGAAAGT